GAGTGAAACAGAATGAGTAATGGTAGAAAGGAATATGAAAGATTAAAGAGACTGAATACATCTGCGTAAGCCATTGACAACGATTTTGAGCCATGTCACCTATTGTCTCCAGCCATTGATTCTTAGAGTCCCGAGGGCCCCAACCCGGAAGTCTGCATCTCCCTCGCTACCTGACTCAGTTTAACTGTCAAGGATTTCATGGATTGATGAGGCCATGTTTTTGTTTGGCCACCACTTACTCTTTTCCAACCTGCACCTATATCAGCTAGTAATGCCCGTCGGGAAGGGGAGGCGATGGTTAGGCATGCGCAGCACGTCACCTAGCCATCTCAATCTATGTAACTTTATAGCCTCGTCGATTGATTTTCCCTCTTTGCCCAACACTCTACGCCTGACGTCAACATTACTTACCTCATTATACCACCTAACGTGAGAAAGGGATCTGAGACGTCTATGATCAAAAACAGTCAACCTTTTCATGTCTTCAACTCGTATTGGCCATGTTTCAGAGCCATAGAGAAGGACGGAGCGGACTGCTGAGCAGTACACACGTCCCTTGGTTGATAGCCAGATGTCACGTCTACGCCAGAGATGGCGTAAGTTAGCGAAAGCAGCTCGAGCTTTCTGAATCCGTGCTGTAATTTCGTCACCAATCAATCCGTTGGTGCTGATACAACTTCCCGAATAGGTGAAGTGGTCAACATGTTCTATCACTTCATTTCCTATCACTAAGCTAGGAGTTGACGTAGTCCAGTCCTGCAACAGCATCTTACATTTCACAGGGGCGAATCGCATGCCAAGCATACGAAGATTGCTGCTCAAGGTGTTCAGAAGACTCTGCATTTTGTCAGCGTCTTCCCCTAACAGGACTATGTCGTCTGCATATTTTAAGTCCATAAGACTATTCCCTGGTAACAAGTCGATTCCTAAGTCGTTAAGTTCAGTTAAGGATACTTCCATTAGCATATCTATGGTGAAGTTAAACAGAAAAGGGGAAAGTGAACATCCCTGACGGACACCACTGGATGTTATCAATTCAGATGACAATTCCCCATAAGCCCTTACACGGCTACGTGAGTTTGAGTAGAGTGCCTTGATTAGTGCAATGTACTTTCTTGGCACTCTCTTCACAGTCAAACATTGCCATAGTATACTTCGATCCACGGAGTCGAAGGCCGCCTTCAAGTCAAGAAATATGGCAGTTGTTGGACGCCGAAAATTGTGTCTATGTTCTAGGATCTGTCGGAGAGTGAAGATATGATCTATGCACCCTCTACCTAGCCTAAAGCCTGGTTGATTTTCCCTCGATGAAGAAGATAACTTATGGAAAACGACAACAAGTACTATTCACTACCAACAGAAGAAATTTGAAAGAGGTCACTTCCTTCAATTATTTACAAGGCGCCGTTTCAACCATAAGCGATAAGACAGATGAAGATGTCAAAATCACAATCGGAAATGCGAAACAGACTTTCGTCGATCTGAAATCAATGTGTAAATCTACTTCATTCAGCATAAAGAACAAGATTCGGATCTTCATCACTAATGTTTTACCACTCAGTTTTTCTGTATAGGTCAGAAACTTGGCGCAGGTGGTAAAAAAAGCATTTCTAACAGACCACTGCAAACCCTAAACAACAGGTGCCTCATATGGTTCCACACTGAAAATCAGATGGCCAAAAAGAATCAATAGCAAGACAATCTAGGGAAACCGCTGCTCAACAAATATCCCGAAGAAAAGAAAGATGGATCGACACATGCTGATGTGACCGCGGAGTAATTTGGTGCTCCACGTCCTCGAGTGTAACCCGAGTTGGAAACAACGAGTTGGACATAGATCTGAGGGTGACATAGAGGAAGTGTTGTAAAGAGGAGAAAAGAGACTATGGGCAACCACGGAGCCAGTCGAAGAGGACCAAAGAGAACAGAAAAAAGTGGAGGTGTGCTGTTGAAGCCCTACGTCCCACTCGCCACCCAATGAAATAATAATTATAACAAAAATTGTATGAGTTTGTATAAATCATTCCCAATTTTCGGTAAATTCTTTCATATCTTCACAAACTGGACAACTCTTGATAATAATTTTCTGACTTTATTTGTTCAAAATGTCTCTGACCCTAAGTGTTTGTGTGTGTATGCATGTGTGCTCGCGCGCCTTTTTGTTTATAATTTAAGAATAAAGCCTATGAAGGTCCGACTATAAAAGACGAAAAACAATCATGGCGACGGTATTCTGTCACGTATATTTAAACAGTCACCAGTTATTCAACTAATCGTTTTACTGCCACTAAAATGAAAAATCGTTTTGCTAAACAGTCACTGAAGTGACAATAAGATGAGTTATCTGGCAGCGAGGTTGTTTAATGGCCTAAATTACATAATGCCGTGGAAAACTGTAAGACAGTTTTACAATGATACTCCAATTTGCAAGAAATGTTTTGTGATCTGCTCCTCTCCCATTCAATTAAATTCCTTCCATATTGCTTCAAAATTCTCATGATTTCGCCTAATTTTCACTTAATTCGTCGCTCTGTTGTTCAGGAATTTTGCAGAAGATATTATTCGCAATATACTACTTTTAAATTCTTGTTAGTAGCATACACCAAATTATCAATTTTTTAAAAAGTCTATAAGGGAACAGAAGACTAAATTACTTAGTCTGCACAACAGTGTAGACGTGGAAGATATCAGGCTGGCTTGTTTCACACCTGTAGATCAACGAAAATGCTATATGCTACTGAGTGAATGATATGAGTAGATGGTTACCTGTCATATCAACCGGCAGTGTTAGTTCAAACTAACCCGAATTCTGGCTAGCTACTTTGACGAACTGACAATATATTGGAAGTGAAATAATCTGTTCTTTATATGCCAATACCGTTCTGAATACTCTATTAGCTTCTTTGATTGAACACTAATTAGCTGGTGTTATGTGTCTAGTCCTTTCTTTGATGCAGACTGAATTCTATCAGTCAAGAATGCAATGCAGCCGACATACTAGGTGGTTCGCATCATGGTGCACAGTGAACTGTTGATATGAGATGGTTGCAGGTAATCGGCTGATCTAGGTTTCGTGCTTGTCAACACTCGTCAGCAAGGCGTCTCTGCAACCACACTGAAGGAACCTATTGCCATTCTGAGATTCGAACCCGCGTCACTCTCTGGTGCAGTCGGAGACCTTAAAAATGAGCTATTCCGGTTTGCGATTGACCACCTGTAGGACTGTACTGGATACTTTTATTGGATACTAATTAACTGGTGTCATGATTACTATTTTTTTGGGGCAGACTGAATTCTACGAGTCAAGTCAGGTCAAAGTATCTAATACAGTCCCATAGGAGGTCACTGACGAGCTAGAATAGCTCAGTGGTAACGTCTCCGACTGCAGCAATTAAGAACACAGGTTTGAATCTCCAAATGGACATGGGTACTTTCAAGGTCGCAGGGATGCCTTGCTGAATAGTGAGTGCCGACTAGCACGAAACCTAAATCAGCGTGGGATTCCTGCCGATTGCCACTACTCTATTAGTTTGCTGTATGCCTGTTGGTAGCTATTTATATGTATTTATGTTTTTGGACAGAATCACGGAGTGGAGATGATATAAATGTCCTTCTGATCAGATGAAGATACATCGGAATTGTAAGTTAAACACTGGAAGTATAGAATTGTACATTATCTGTGTGAATCCCAATCACATTACAAGTACAGAACTTGGTATATTCATCCAATTGGATACTTTGGTATTTTAATGATAGAAATTCAGGTTTCTTTAAGCCGATTTACTCTTAATAGGAAGCTAATTTCAAAAAGGGAGAGAATCAGCCAACCATACTATTAAATATACTGATTGTCATTAAGTAAGGAAATCATGTTATCATATTGTTTAGCTGAAACTCTATTGATTTACTATGCAATTTGGCCACAAAACATTGTACATAAATATTGATTGTAAACATCTCTAACTTGCAGGACTGTTTGAAAAGGGCTTTGTGATTCGTGACAAGGCATCAGTTCAATCAACGCTTCAAATACATCTCATTAATAAGCGTCAATAAACAGACTTCTTGTGTCTCCCAAGTTAGGTGTAAACTGACAGCACAAATGCGACATATGCACATTTAGATCAAGATAACTGTTTGTATTCCTATGAGAGTTCCACCATTATAATGATTTTAAAAAAGTGCATATATGTACCATTGATACCTAAAGTTGTATTTGTGCTGTTTTGGTTGATAATATAACGTACTCCACAGCAAAGAAAAGGCTGGAACTACATGTTTGTAAACAATATCAAATACATCACGGTTTGAGTAGTCGGTTTCCAAACATTGAGTTCTCAGTTTCATTCCCAGTATACGAAACAAGGTTTGAGCGGCCATGTTGCATTATCAGACCTCATGCAATAAATGTGGCACCCTAACAACGTGTAAATCCAAGCAACGTTTAAGTAGCTAGTTATCTATAAATGCAGTGTGACAACTAAACTATATAGGACAACACAGCTGTGCACCGTGATCCAACTGCCTCCTGTATTAGACACTGAAAGTCAATCGATGAACAATTCTGCTTCATAGTTTCATTCCCATGATTGATGGCACAGTTTTCAGAAAGCTTCCCACAAGTTTTCAGATACATCCTCCTGAAGACTGCTGTCTAGGATTCAGAGTGGAATATAGGGCTTCAGCAGCGCATCTCCACTATCTCCTAATCTCTGTGGTCCTCTTCAACCACCCCTGCAATTGTCTATAGGCTCTCATCTCCTCACATGATCCCCGCCATGTCACCCTCATATTCATGCCCAAATCATCGTTTCCTGTCAGGGTTCCACATGAGGTCTAGCCTGTCGTGCGATATCATCTGAAGTTCTCCTCCTCTTTCCTTAATCCATTGCAAATGGTAAAAAAGAAAATCGTTGTAGACTTGAGGAAATCGACAGAAATGTTTGAACAAAACTGAATTATTCATGAAGGTAAATATATGCGCATGTATAAATGTTTACCTGTTGAACTTTTTGCCCTTCTAGTTTTTCCATTGTATCTACCAATAGGATCCCATTCACGATCACCAAAATTTCCTCTTCCAGAAATAGGATCACGTTGTGCTGTACACAAATATAAAAATATGGTATACAAATTAAGTGGGTGAGTAAAATCGAAAATTCTAGGAACATGGTAAGATAGTTATGGCACATTCATACCACACAGGAGGCAGTGGTAGATGAGGCAGAATAGTATTTAAAAATCCCAGATGACTGGACCTAAGTTGAGAGAATATTTTACACTAAACTGTCCAAAAGGAGGTTTTTCTGTCTAGGTAAGTTTTACCCAATCAGGTTGCATTTCCTGCATTTGTTAGCAGTTAATTATAGCTACAGGCATGACTTTTAAACCCTGAAGGTAAAGACGAATACAGCTAATTAACAGACTCTGATTATAACACCTACACCAAGTCAGAACCACAAAATATGGAATGATCCTTGATTGAAGCCACAATTACATCAGACACCTATGCTGATGAATTACTTTGGTGTAACTAGGGTCATGTTGTAAAGTCTAACGATGTTGACCAGCTTCAACAAGTTACATTTTCAATACCATCAAGGCAAAACAGTAAGATTAGACTGATTATATCGATATGATCCAAGTCGAAGGAAGAAAAGTCCTGTCTCAGTGAATACGTAAGAGTATGGGTGTATTTTTGATGTTAAACGTAGGCCCATAAATGAAGTGTCACATATTTCACTGTCATTCTACTGAGTGATCAACGACTTCACCCACTGAAATGAACAATAATGGTGTAAATAGATGAAATTACAGTCCAGACTAATAAAATAATACCAAAATCCTGCATTCATTAACATCTACAAAATATATTTGTGAAAAATTATATTTGTAAAATCTCAGCGAAATTGAAATGAGTAATTCCAACGTTTCGTTCGGCAATCTGGTCCGAACTTCTTCAGGGAAATTAATCGAAATTAACATAACAGAAGTTTATATAAATGAAAGGAACATCTCTTGTTTTTAAAAACTTTGTCCAATCATGAGTTATAAAACAAGTATCAACAAGTATAACAAACAAAATTTTATGAGCTGTGATCAAAATTTGACCTCGGACTTACAAATATTGGTCTACCTTTGTTAAGCGCTTTAAACAGAGTGTGTATGTGTGTGGGGGTAAACAGTTGTAAAACATTTCTTAACGTCTCCATATGGACAGTCGAGAATTTTGACCAAGTATTAATAGTTAGTGATACATATCCATTTTTTATTTATTAATAAGAATTTCCTACGCATCAGCCAACATCACGCCTTCATGTCCGTTCACACTGTTAGTATCGAGAATTTTATGATTAGACTTATTTTCAAAATTATGGTGTTTAGGATTGGAGTTTAGTAGAAGCACCCTGTCGGACTTATTGCTTTGTCTTCTTTCTGAATATTGAGCTGCTTTATTCGACCAACTGGAGTTGTCAGATGAACCGACAGCTATGGATTTAGGATATGCATTCTGCTGCAGACAACGGAGAGTGAAAACACGATGATTGTGCCAATTACACAGTTTCTTTGTTAATTTAATTCGATTGAAAAATAATAATTCAAATGAACTGTCGTCAAGATTTGACAGAATATTTATTGTTTTTAAAAACAAGTGATGTTCCTTTTATATATAAAACCTCTGTTATGTTAATTTCGATTAATTTCCCTGAAGAAGTTCGGACCAGATTGCTGAACACAGGAAACGTTGGAATTACTCATTTCAATCTCGTTGAGATTTTACACATATCATTTTTCACAAATGTCTACTTCTCACTCGGCGCCCAAATATTTTAGAACTATTCTGTCAAATCTTGACGACAGTTCATTTGAATCTACACAATATGTTTTCCTTCTGTCAAAACTTATACAAGCAGCCTTTCTTCGACATCGTCTGCCAGTCTTTTTCATTACCCCCCTCCCTTGGAACGTCTGCTACTTAGTAATAATAGTAACAACTTTATTATGAAAAATGCCTCAATACATGATGTAAATTTAGCAGCCCATCTATCACATGGTGAAGTATTTACTCAGGATGTAGTGTCTTCAAGTAAATTACTGATAAGTAATATATCATCTGCGGCACTATTGTTCAGTCTAGAGCATACTTTATTAATCTACTATGAATTTTCTCCATCTCCTTGAAATAATTCGAATCGATAAGTTCAATCCTATTTCAATCCAGGCTCGAGTATAAATTGCGATCCACAGATGTAATTGGATAGTTAAAGAAACATGAAAAGCACAGCAAAGGAATAATTTTACGGATGAAAATTATGTAGCTCAGCGATTTAAGCAGACCGCCAAATACTTGTTCATCAGTTCTTATAATTATTTATGAACAGACACTTCCTGTCATATACTACTTATATACATTCTTATAACTATTATATGTGTTGACAAATAGTATTCATTTCTCCTCACCATCAAACACACTAACCACTAAAAGTCATGTCTTCAGCGAGTGATTCCTCTTTCAAGCTTAATTACTAATGTATAGTAATAAGAATAATATTACAGTGGTTCTGTTGATTTCACGTAAACGTAGCGAAGACGAAGGTGATGAAGATAACTTAGAACATCCATCATAAAAGGAATTGCCGACAGGCCTCAGACATTTATCAACGTCTGCCTTCTTTCCAAATTGAAGATCAGATGACCAGAGAGAATTAGCAACAAGAAACTCTGGCTGCGAGCGAATAAATCAAGAACCTATTACTCATCAAAAATGTAGAAGAAAATGGAGATAGATTGGATACACACCACTGAGGAAACCGTCGGATGGCATCGCGCAACAGGCAAACCCTCAAGTGGAACTCGAGTGGGAAACGACGCTTCGGGCGTTCAAGGGTGCGATGGAGGAGAAAAGAGCCTATGGGCAATCGTGAGACCTGAAGAACAGGACTGCAGAGAAAAAGATAAAGTGAAGATATTCTTTTGAAACCGTATGTTCCACTCGGAACTCAAGGAAACAATAATAATATAATCTGTTGGTTTACAGCAGAAATCAAGTTGTGTAAAGTACTATTGGTATATGTGAATGCGGCCTGAGGACACGCGAGTCCTGGAGTTTTTCTAAGAGATGAGAAACAGATATTGCCTAATATCTAAACCAGAATTTATTAGACACTTGTGTAAGCTATATTCATATTCCTTGATCTAAAGTGATCAAGACTGGTCAGAACAGATCAAATGTACAATGAAAGCTAACAGAATAAGAAACCATGTATTAATTTAACAATCTGTGAACTAAAATATACATTCCATATTATGCATTCAGTGATTTTAAGCAGTAAAATCCATATCCTGCATTTCGCCCCATTTGGGACTCATCAACTGGAAATAACTGCGTCCTTAATGACTGAGCATTTTCCCACTGAGAATCGAAATCAGCAGTTGTTTTTTCAGACTTCATTGTTCTATCCACTAATGAATCTAAGTTTCAATCTAGAAATGAATTCACCACTTGCAGTATACGTAGTTCGAGGAGATGGAATTTCACTACACAATTTCCTATGGAAACCGTAATTATTCAGGTCTTAATACGTGATCACGTGTGATTAACGGCAATCAAGAAGGCAAGCATAAATGTATAATGTTATGTACTACTAACTCACTGATATGTTTACTTGGACAAAACTCAAATCAATTAGTTTTTTGGTTAATTCTATTCCTTTACGGTCCGAGTGGAACAAAGAGTTTCAAGCTAGAGCTTCTGGAGTTTCAATAGCAATGGTTTTCACTTATACGTGGCAGGGTTGTTAGTTTCATGCTCAACCTTCCCTCTTTACCAGCTTAGCGAGGTTTAGGAATGCACTGTTTGGGGATCAATTCCCGGACCATGCGATACATGGATGGCTAGTGTCCTGCTGCTGAACTGCTGACGCAGACAACAATCAGTAGTGCTTGCTAATCAGATTGAAGTGTTCTTAACATTGGATGAGCTTTTCGCTCATTTGGGACCGAGCGCATCAGCCGTGTACCCGGTTTGACTCATTTCAGAGAGCAGAATTCGATCTACACTATATCCAGTTCGCCCAAGCAGTTAACCAGAATTATGGTGGGTATTCTGAACTGATTTAGCTGTCTGAGCTGAATAGAACTGGATGCACCACTGATGAGCTCAGGTGGTTCCCAACTACTGATATCAGTCAGCCAGTAGTATATAGCACCATCCTTGTCAGTTATCCCTTAAGCTATTTGACCAGGGAAGAGCCATTTATCCTTATTTGTTGGCGTTATTTTAAATTTCCCGCTGACTGATTTGCACTGGATCAAAATGATTGGTCTCTGTTATGAGAAGACGACACATCAAGTCAGACCAAACACTTCGGTCAAATATGCTAATGAATCAAGGGAAAATTCAAGATAATTTCGAGCAAAGGTTGTTTTCTTTTTTTGGATATGTCATCCTTCTCAAGTGTCTCCTTCAATGGCGTTTTCAATGCCATTAACATTGCTTCTCGTAAGAATTTGTTATATCTTACTACTTATATTCGTTTATAAGTAGCATATATCACAAACTGGTATTTCATTATTAAATATAATTGAAAAAAAATCAATCATTCAGATTTGAGATTTATTAACAATGATGGTGAAATAATGCGTCTGAAAGAGCAAATCCATAATGAGAAATTAATTAACTGTCTGACTTTCAGACACAAGTCTCTAAATAATTTACTTCCTTTGGCGGGAAAAATAATTAGCGCAGCTATATGACAGACAAATTGATTTTGGTCGTTTTAATTTGTAAAACGTTTGGGCTGATATTCGAAAAACATGGAGGTTGGTTAAACCGAAATGTTCAGTTATTTAGGCGACATATTTGTTTTTATATGCCAATGTTTTAATAGACTGAAACAAAGGCAAATTTTTCCACATTTCGTATTTAAGTTTCAGTGGCAGCGATATTATTTTGCGGAGTGGGACAACTTTCTTACACTTTAATGTGTATTTACAAGTTCACTTGCTCCAGTGGAGCTAAGTACCTAGACCATACAACCAGGACATTGTCTAGACAAGGCAATGATCACTTCTTACCAGCATGGTTGTAAAAAGGAGAGTG